ACACACACACACACACACACACACACACACACACACACACACACACACTCTTCTTTGAGTCCAGTACTATTCTTGACAATTTAGTAGCCATTTAGTAGTATAAGTTCAGACAGAGTCAGGAAAGGCTCAAAACTTTCATTATTTTTATTTGCTTTGTTATTTTATATCTGATGACTTTAATGTTTTTATGCTATAAGCTGCCCCAAGTTGTTTGACATGAGATGAGTGGCAAATAAATGTCATAAAAAATAAATAAATTTTACTAATTTTGGTGTGTAAATATCAAGACTATTAGTACCTGCTCACTTTAATAAAATGAAAACAGAGTTGCAATATTTAATTTCTCTTAAATTGAAAAACCTGCTCCTTTGTGTGAGTAGCCAATGAGATATTGTGGGATGAATTCAGTAGCTGATACCAAATTTGCAAGTTTCATAATCTATTCTTGTTTAAGTTAGAAACATCATTGTGTTGCTGAATGAATCAGCTTATAGCCAGATGGTAAGCTTCTTCATTTTGTAGTGATGCTATCTTTTGATCAGCTGTGATGAAATGTAAAAGTTTAATGTTTGGGGAAAAGTGGCTAAATAGCTTTGATGGGAGAACTTAGCTGTTTTATATTAGTGAAAGAGAAAATATGCAAATCTTTGCAGTAGAATATTTACAGTAGTTGTGGGGAAAAACTCCAGATGTTTTTAGGAGAAAATAAGAAAAAAAATTCCAAAAGAGATGATGAACTTCATTACTTGGAATGAAGCTGCTTGCAGCTCACTGTAATTTGTCTCAGCGCAGATGTATTCTAAATACTGACAGAAAATGAAAGCAGTTAACTTACAATTCCACTAACATTTGCACAGAACTATGTATGATTTGGTATATATTCTTATTGTTCAAAGAAATAAAAGTAGCCTTAGTTGAGTATAGACCATTATGGAAATTATTGTGGAAATCTGCTGTCAACTATGCTATATCAAACTGCTTTTATCTGGATTTCCTGTGTGACTTTTCTATTTGCATAAATATATTAAGAGGGAAGTCAGCTGACTTTTAAAGATAGATTTAATCTATCTGAATTCTTCTGAAAGCAAGAATTCAGCAATTTTCCAGGTAAAGACCAACTGGATATTCCAATTTCAACCAGAGTCACTTGGCTGAGTTAAACGGCTATAGAAATTGAATAAGTAAAGTAAATAAATTTGTTGTTTTTGTTGTAGGCACTCTTTATTGGATTTGGACCTGGATTCAAGTTTCAAACAGAAGTTGATCCATTTGAAAATATTGAAATCTACAATTTAATGTGTGGTATGATAAATTGGCTCCCCCCCCTCTTCAATTCAAAATATTTCTGGGAAATACTTACCATGCATCTAGAATGATACCACTTACATTGGTTATATTTATTATACTAAAAAGATGAAAGATTATTTCTGATGTTAGTGCCAATGCCAGTTTTCAGTAACATTAGAAGTGGAATTTGGTCCCTATCTAATTTCTATTTCCCTTAAAAACCTTCTCTTTTGATTCTTCAAAAATTCCCTCTTTAGGATATTCCTCTAGTTTTGATCCATATGTTGAACTCCTCCTTTCAATTTTTATATTATGTTTTAATCACAGTTATTTTTAATTAAGATTTTTTATTTTTATACTTTTATGGAATGTCATGACTGTTATGTGCTATAAAATTTAGCACATATAGGTAGTAACTGTCTATATCCATAGCATGTTTATTGTAAGAATTATATTTAAACTGCGATGTAAAGCATATCTTCAACATCTTTGACACGGTTTTCTCAACTATTTTAGATCTTCTTGATTTAACACCAGCCCCTAACAATGGAACCCATGGAAGCCTCAATCACCTTCTGAAGACAGTCAATTATATTCCCAAACATCCCAAAGAAGAAAGCAGCCCTTCTTCATGCCCTTCAGTGGGGCAAAGGACTTCCGGTGATGGCCATAGCTGCTCATGTAAATCTTTGGTACGGACTTAAAGAAGGAACAATTGCTCTTCAGGGGTAGCAATTATAATTTTGCTGATATTTAATCAAAAACCCTTCCACTTTCATGGTTGTATATAAGGACAAACTTGGATACAATTCATTTAAGATTCTGTCTGTCTGTTTCTCTCTCTCTCTCTCTTTCTCCCTCCCCCCCCTCTCTCTCTCATATCTTTCTATCACAATCATCTATCTTTATCATATCTATCTATCTATCATCTATCTATCTAATCTTATTTTTTACTAAGAACTCAAGATGGCCCCCAAAAAACAACAAACTTATAAGGTGAGTTGAGTTGAGAGAGAATGACTGATGCAAGGACACCCAACTGGCTTTCATGGCTATGGCAGGACTAGAACTCACACTCTCCCGTGTGTGTGTGTGTGTGTGTGTGTGTGTGTGTGTGTGTGTGTGTGTGTGTAATTTCATCTTATATATCTATATCTCTACATCCATATCATTTATACGCCTTCCATCTCGCTATCCAAAGCAACTCAGTATCACCATTCTGTCAATTAATCAATCTAATTTACTATAGATATTTTTAATATAATTTTTTATTTGTTTGTTCTGTCTGATGCTGCATAAAAATGACTTCATCTTTTGCTTTCCTTTACATGTAGGGCTTGCCACTGATTCAGCCACAGGTAGATCTTACTACTTCAGAAAGTAAGTATTATAACTGCTTTTAGAAATGGATAACTTGAGCAGAAAAAGTTTAACTGGGAAGTTACTATATAATAGCTGACCCAGTTTGTCTTTTTTCCTTCTGTAGTGAAGAAGATAGAAAAATACAACCTGCCATTTGGGAGGCCTCGTGTACTCCAAAAGAAGCAGAAATTTTGCCTCCTCCATAATCATCGCTATGTCAGTGGATTTAGCCAGAACTTCAAGATGCCTTTGTGGAGTAGCTATTCTGTTAATAAGCATGTAAGTTTGTGGGTAATTCAGTTTTCATTTGAAGAAAAAAGTCATAAAGCATCAAGTAGCAGGAAAAAAACCCAATGTGGCAAGCCAGATGTGGGCTTCATTTAAGTGGGAAACAAAGACTATGGTAATAAATCATTTTAAATAGTGCATGTTTTCAGCAATGGTTTAAATAAAATACAAGAAACATATGTAGCTTGCCTGTTGAATTTTTTTCTGATTTTTTTTCCTTTTCTTTTTCTCTATGATCCTATGTTTGCATGTATTTCTGCAGCAAAAGTACAAGATAAGCATATTCTTCTCTCTGAGTCATAGAACCAGAAACTAAAACCAGCTGCTTCTTCACAGATGTTCTGTGGAATATATTTGTTCTAAATTTGCATCATCCTCCAGGAAAATCAGGACCATTATTTATCTTGATTTGTCCTTTGCTAGTTTCTTTTCTTAATAAGAAATGTGTAACTTAGTTTTGGGAGAGCTATTACGTTGCTAGACAGATGGATTGAACCACTACTTTTTAAATATAATTTTTCAGTGTATGAATGAATATATTGCATGCAGTGCAGGGATACTTGAATAACGATATTTGAGTAATGTATACTTCCAATGTACAGTTATTGGAAGTATGTGTGACTGCACAGGTAGCAATCTTAGGAACACTTTAAAAGCAGCTGTATCTTTTCCTGGTCAGGAAAAAGATGGATAATCCTGGCAAAAGACATGCTTAATTAAAATGTTCTTGACTAATGCTTTCTGAAACACCCCCCCCCACCTTATACGAGTTCTAAAGTCCATTTTCTCCTTCACATTCAGATTGAAACACAGCCTATACAATGTATGCACATAATCTCTGAATAGATTAGAAATAGAATTTGTTAAAGACCATGCAAGTTGCATCCCAAAAACATCCATATTGCTACCCAGTCTTTTGCTAAGTAAAGGCCTATGTACACAGCAATTTGAACATAAGGCTACATCTACTCTTGATTTGGGAAAATATAAAGAATATATAGCATGATAAATCTTGTGAATAGAGTGGTCTTTAGAAATCCTCTTCTCAAGCATCTAAACTTAGCCTGATACATTCCGTATAAACTTAATAGAGCCAAAACAAAACATTATTTCATAATATGGCTGGATTATTGTATGTTGTGAAAAAGAACAGGGAGATATTTTGTCTTCTTTACGTACAATATACACAACCACTGGTTACTTTTGTTTTTTTTCTGTTAATTAGGACAGCTGGAACACCTCTGCAAGTGCCACCAAAGGCTGCTTCTACACGGATCGTCGTATTTCTTTAAACAGCAGTCAGATTTGTTCATTTTACAAAAAGCAACCTCAGCTTAACTATGGATTTCTTTTTCCTCCAAGTAATTCCATTTCCTCTCTTATATTGTTTTACTAGTTAATTTAGCTCAGGGGTGTCAAACCCACGGCGTCACGTCATCACATGATGCATCACAACTTTTCCCTTCTTCACTAAACCAGGGGTGGCCAGCACATGACACATCCATCCCACAGGGTACAAGTTTGACACCCCTAATTTAGCTTATAGTTCTGCTGGGTTCCTGTTAAGGTAACAACCAGATACAATGTTAGTTAGTTTATCTGAGATAAACCATGGCAGTGATTAATTAATAGCCAAAATAAAACTTCTTGTTTCTGTTTCTTAAAATGTGTGAACAATCTTCTTTTATATATAAGAATTAAATATTAGCTGTACGTAAGCAATAGCCAACCTTGAAAATCTTTAATTGATATTTATACAAAATGATACTAAGTATGAAAAAAGTGTAGAATTATAATTGGCAGATAGAAGGTACAAAACACCCTTCTTTTAAATTCAAATTGCAAAAAACCCACCATTTTAATGTTAAAATAAATATACAGCTGTAAGTGGTACATAAACATTAAAATGCTCACAGCATGAGCTTCGATACAGTATATTGTGTAACAATGGCCAGATGACATTGGAACCACTAATTCAGAAAGGCTTATGCAAAAAAATAATTCTGAAGTGTTCCATATTTGCCTTTGGAAATTCAGCCACCTTAACGTGTGCATTTATTTTAATATTTAAATTTCGATTTCTTTTTTGTATTCTACAAGTAATTTATGAATTGGATGCTTTCTTGTCATAAATACAATCACCAAATTAGGTGGTATCCTCTTGTTTGAAGCTGATGTTGACTTTTAAGTAGGAATTGCTTTTTGCCCCTATGTGAGTCCAGTGTGCTTGTCAACATTGCTGGGAAATTTTGGAATGAGTCAGATATCATCAGATATGTACATCAGTTGTAAATGCTTGCTTATATATTTTTATGTTTCTAGATCTGATTAAAGAAGATAAGAAAAATTATTATGAAGGACTTCTCTCAAGCAATATAGCACCAATGTATTCTGCTTTTCAAGGTAAAGGTTAATTATTAGGGGGTTTGGCTTCTTTTAATGGGAAAAATACAAGCTAATAAAATATAATTATTTAAAGTTATGCTCTTGTGATTGTGTCTTCAATAATATACATGTAGCAATGTCCAATGAATGATGATGGTGTTCTATATTGCACTATAATTCTTCAGCCTCATAACAATTTCCTGAATGCCTACATTCTTGATTCTGTATGTCTGCAGTCTACTTCAAATTATCATACCATGGCTTAACAAGTGAAAACAGAAATGGATCTTCTGTTCCTTTTTATAGCTTCTTCACACATGCAAGCAGGACACTTCTAAAATGGGAAGGCTAAAATAATCTATTTATTTGGGAGTAAGCCCATTGAGCTCAAATGGACTTCTAAATAGATCTATCAAGAATTGTTTTCAGTTCTATAATCCAGAGATGGATAATCCTGTGGCCACAGATTGAACACTGTGCTTTCTTGGTTGCCTACATTCCTAGGAAGTGTAACAATACTCAAACTAGCCAAGATAGTCTTTATGTAAAACCACGATGGGAAATGTTTATAGTGAGAGAATCATTTTCTATTGATTATTTCTAAAGATTAGAAGAATTGTAGATCACTCAAGAACTATAAAATCCATTCAAGAATTATAAAAAAAAGATGGTCAAAGCAAATGTCATTGTTTGCTTTATATTTGGAAGTTCCAACATTATGCATCAAAGTTAAATTCATTCATAAATATCTCTTGGACTTGAAAGCTCATATCTCAAGCTCCAAACCTCCAATATGCCAAGCACAAAATATTGGGTAGGACTGTGTGGTTCCAACATACTTGCAAATAGTATGTTCACACTGTTTTGATAAATAAGTAAAATAAAGGCAGCCCATGGTTGTAGAACAACAACAACAAAAAAGACCTTCAATCAGCAGTATCACCAATGGGCTTGGTTCTCTTCAGGTCATGGCATTTTCTTAGTGATATTCTCCCTTGTTCTTTCAGTGATCTGGGAATATTTTAATGCTGTCCTACTGCCATCATATGCTGCAGCCAGGAATGGTGTAAATGTGATCACAGGTCCAATATTTGATTACGACTACAGTGGCGTATATGATACACCAGAAGCAATAAGAAGGTAGGCAGATATCTTTTTTAGCTTTTGTGTGTGTGTTTGAGAGACTATGTGTTTAAACAATCACTTTAATTTAATTTATGGGGACAAACCCCCTTTAAAATATATTTTTCTGACTTAACAGAATCTATGTCTTGAAGACGTAAGACATTTAGCCATTTATACTGAGCCTATCAATCCCTTTGTGGCTTCTTCCATATGTATCAATGCACTGTATTGGATTTTAACATGTGTAAATTATTTTCTTTAAAAAAAGAAAATTACATTCAAATAAGTATTTTAATACATATTTTATTTCAAATGTATGAAATATATTTTGATATGGTATTTAAAAGCTGGTGGGTGAAACCATTTCAGTGTTCACAATAATCTAAGAGTATTGGTGCAAGTTGATATCAAGGAATATGCATGAATATTCTAACAATGTTGTGGGCAGAAGCAGGGGAGGAATATCAAAGCACAAACAAATAATAAAAACAGTGTCTTGTCATCCCTTTTACATGCACATCATGATATCCATGCATAACCATGAATCTAGTAAAACTTGTGTTGCAACAATGCAATCCTGATTTTATCGTATGAATGACTCAAATCATGTGGAGGTATCTTATTCATTGCTGTATTAAAAGTACACACTACTTTTCCGTAAAGAATGCCCATCACCATTTTAGCAGTAATTATAAGATTTAGAAAAGAGAAATGCATTTCAAGTACATTTTGGAAACATAATTCACACATCATTAAAATGATATCTAAAAGTTGGAACAGGAAATGGAGAAACCATTTTGTTTCTGTCAAATCTATCAAATTTCAATAGTGTGATTTGATAAAATAAATTTTCAAAAATAGATTTTGAAGTCCAGACTGACTGAAAGGAAAAAAAAATCTCATACAAATAGTCGGGCCTCATTACATATTTTAAAAGTTTATAACAAGTTCTTTGGATTTACCTGGACATAATTCTACTAATAGCTTGTGGAATTGGTTTAGCAAGGGAGATCTGCTCCCTCTAAGAGGCTGTATTACTTCATTGGAGGTTCAAGTGTAAGTTAGCTTATGCTGGATACATCCTATTGTGTTATATTAGGGGTGTCAAGCTCACGGCTTGTAGGCCAGATGCATCAGATGCTGGCCACGCCCACCTGTTTTAGCGAAGTGAAAAAAGTCACGATACATCATGTGATGAAAATATGATGCCGCAAATTTGATGCCTCTGGCTTATCTCTAATGGAATAGTAGATCATTTAAAGCTAGAGTTTTTGTTTAACCAAATAGGTGTATATTTCTTTGGTGTATGGAGTATGAAGTATGCTCAGTACAACTAACAAGAAAATGTTGCTTTTCCCCGGTTTTAAAATTAAATTCCAGGCATCATATTTTCATCACATGATGTATCGTGACTTTTTTCACTTCGCTAAAACAGGTGGGCGTGGCCAGCATCTGATGCATCTGGCCTATGAGCCGTGAGCTTGACACCCCTAATATAACACAATAG